GGCGGGGCGGGGCGCACCGAGGCTCGAGCGCGGGGCGGGGCGCGGCGCCCACAAATGTGGTTAAAACGTTAACCACAAAAATACAAAATCAAAACTTGTGGCATACTTTTATCGTTTCAGTCGAAAAATGACAAATATAGTTCCGATGCGAATTTTTAACGTAAACAAATGAAAAACATATCAATAATTACAAGTAATCAGACACATGTTGACAAATATATGTCAATATGTTGGGTCTCGGTCAGTGGCCGGAGGCAAGGTCGCGTCTTGGTGCCTCATCAATGGAGAGAGCGGATACCTTCGGGCGGCCTTTGATCCTCGCAAGTGGCGCTCGGCACTCGTAGTGCCGCAGGTAAATCCAGGGAAACGCAGGAATGACCCCTTCTAGAATGGCTTCTGGGCTATTGTCCTATCGGCACAAAGGCATATCATATTCTAACGAAAGAAAAACATCCATTTCTGAGCGATTATATCTTGAGACGTGTGGCTGGATTAGAAGATGGATATGAAAAAATGTTATGGGATCTCTTCGTTCAATTGATTCGTCAGACACAAGTCATAATAATAAATAAAGAGCTTAAAATAGATTAAATTGACTTTCTTGCAATACTGCATTCTAGAAGCTAGATATGTAACCTTAAATTCTCTATTCCTTAACTAAAGGTATATACTTAAGATATTTTAATCCATGACCACAGATACTTTATTAAGTTCTCCTTTCATTTACGTATTGATATACAAAAGATAGCCTAAAAGTACTACATAGTGATAGCATTCTCAAAGGCAAATTTCTTTAACTCTCTGTCATCCTCGTGGTAGAGGGGGTCTCCCTCCCTCCCTTTCTCATGCAATGGAACGGGTACACTATCTGGCTTGTCCAGTTTTTTCATCGCGAGAGTAGCGCTGAGACGCAAATAAAGTGGTTTCGCACCCTTCACCTCTCTAAAATACCTGCAGCAGCCACATTACCTACTTCATTTTTAATTTACTCTGGCTTTTCTAGCATACTTTATAAACTATTTCAATATTATTTTAAAAGTGGAAAATACCCTATGACATCTTAAACTATTTTCTTAAAGACTTCTTATGCGAGGTATTTTCGCAGAATGAGGTGTTTTCTATATAGCTAGTTAGCACACTAGCAGAAGGTATCATTAGTCATTATTAATGATTCGAGACTTTTATTTAACTTGGAAACAAGTTTCTCTCATATAATAATTTCGAGTAGTATGGCAATTGTAATGCGCTGGATCAAGGACAAAGTAGTCTGGTGTCGTTTAATCGACTTTCAAACATTACGATCTTAAAACTATTATATATATACGTACGTGTTCGATGTTGCGCGTTTCGATAGTAGCTCAAACACAGATGTATTATTATAAACGCTAAAGAGTTTAGTATTGTTGCGAGTAACACTGATCCACGCTTTGGTATTATACTCATACTTCAAAGAAGTTTGTCTAGTACACAGTTATTGTTACATCGAACCCTAAAATTCACCAGTTAGATAACTGAAGTAAATTCAGAATGTATCATAGAGTGATATCTGACATTAAATTAGTCTAGTGATTGAAATGACAAGGAGACTAGCAACATAGTTTGCAATATTTGCATTTGACATATAGTTTATATTCTTGGTACTCTGTCCACCGAATTTTTGAAGATATCTCAAGATACGGAATGTTTTCAGCACAATGTCAATAATTCTCCTTTTTCAGGAAATGTAGTTGTCAAAACTTTAATAATAATAATAATAATAATAATAATAATAATAATAATAATAATAATATAAAAAGAAACATTCAAAAAGATAATTTACAACAAGAGTATTAACGAAACGAAACAACTACGCATATAATTTATCTCAGTTTTCAAACTATTTCTCCTGTGATGCGTGCGCATTAATTATCCGTGCCTTATACCCCGGCATGCAAGGAAATTTATCACTTGTCGCCCTTCACGCAGACGGGTTCTGTTCGAGACACATCACACGCTTTGTGGAATCGCATAGAAAACGCTGTTGCTGTCTTGGCCACGAGATAATTTCCTCCCACATCAGCAGCCATCGGTGGGGGACCATGATGTGTGACGACGTCCCCGTCAGCCCCCACCAGGCGCGATGCGGACACAGCGCGGGCGCGGGCGCGGGCGGCGGCTTTCGCTGACGTCACGGCACTGAGACGAAAAAGGATCATTAACCGAAAGGAGACATTTTCGCTCAGGGGGGAACACAAAAACGGAAATAAATAATGATGAATTCGGTTCTAAAACCAAAAACTACATTTTAAAAACGTTTAACCGTTTTACTTTGAATCGATTTGAAGCATTGTTTATAAAACGGTTTCTACATTTAATACCGAAATGGAAATGGAAACAAATAAAAATAGAATAACTATTTGCCTATTGTTGTCGTATTATATGAGAAACCTTCCCCTTCTACGCAGATGCAAAACTCTGAGAAACGAAATTCGCTCGAATCGATAGAACACGAATGACGAAGCCAAATGAAATCGAAACCCGAATTTGCAAGAGCGGGTGAATCGTATGGAAACCGTATGGGAAGGAATATATTCGGGCGGTGGGGCGGCGCGGCGCGGCGTGGCGAGCGCACGGCTCCGGGGCTGTCATTGCAGCAGGGCCTAGCCAGCACGGCGGCCGCCGCCGCCGCCGCCGCCGCCGCCGCTCTCCCCCACCCACTCCCATTGATTTTTCTAGTCTTCGTGTGTGGAGCGGGTTCGCAGGGAGGAAAGTGCCGCCAGGATTATCCTCGCCGCATCAGCCAGCTCACCGATTACCCACGCGGAAAAGGGCTAAAGGGCTACTTTTTACGTTTTTACATTTGCGCGTCGGCCGCGTCGGCCGCGCCGGCCGAAGCAACTGGGCTGGATTACATTGAACATACGGAATCCGATACGGCGGCGAATACACCAACCAGAAAGACCACCAGGCTGCAGCAGGGAAACCAAATATTTCAGAACGCACCGCGCCGATTGCGTCCTCCTCGGTCGGTAATTAGTCCTTCTGGTAACGCATCAATCCAGACCTATGACTAAGCTTCAGTCGAGGCAGTTCACCCGCAATTAACGAGGGATGCCTATGAGACAGTGGAGAAGGTCCTTTCCTGTACTCATTTCCGATAATAGGTGCTATCATGTTTTACTCAACATGATTTCCAATGCTGCTCGATAGAACTGGGCATCTTATTACGAAATACGCGTGGGAACTCTTTCTCGAAGACGATAGAAGTACAGTAGATTTTATTTACTATGTAGATAAATTAGGATTTATAAATTATTGATATAATAAAAATGTGAAGAATACATTAAAGAATCAAGGTTTTCTATTCTTTCCTTCAGAAGAGTAATATGAAATCGTCATTAGTGATCTCTCTTCTAGTGTACGTTGTGTCTAACATTAAATACTACATCCACGAATAAGACCACATACAGTACACCAGTGGTCATAATTAACAATCCCATTACGATTTTTTATCTACGCCAAAATCGGAAAAGGTGAACAAATATTTCATATAGCTATTTCTGACAATGTATAAACGTTATATAGAACTATATTTAAGTCATTACAATACAATTCATAAGCAAAATATGGACACACCAAAAATTCACTATTGGAGATCTATCCAATTTTTTTCTGCTATTCAACCAACATCTATAACTAAAAATGTTACAAAAAACACTAATGTCACGTTCCAATTCATTTCTGAAAATCTGTCACTCCTATTAAAGTCATATTCGTATAACATCTTCCTCGCAAAAACCAAATATGTCCTGAGATGAATCCAGTTCTTGCCAGGAACAAGAATATAGGTAGTAGTAGAGTTGCGTATTGTTTCCAAAGACAATGGTTGGATCGATGTAGTTTTGGATGTCTATTTTGTTGTAAAATGAATCAATGTAAAAATTAATTCAATGGCGATGGGAAATTGCCTGATGAATTAGAGAGAAAGGAAAAAGTGCATATAGTGAGATTACTAACTCTTACACACAGCTTAGTAAACTTATTGTTAGATGCAAGAATTTATTGGAAAATGTTTTGGAAGTTAATGAACTTCACCATACGAACTCGGGATCCTGGATGCCAAATAAAACAACCTCTTACATTTGTTAGATAAACGTGCAAATCGAGCTTACTCTAAAAGCGATGTTTTCACACCATTAGGGACTCAAAATTACTGTTCAGTGGGAGGGCGTAGCAGGAAGAATGTTCACTTAGATAATAATGACAACAGTAATATGATTAGTGAAAACGTTGTATCATTTACATTTCAAACGGTAAAATGTTCAAATATAATTTTGTATGCGTGGCATAGTCTGTTGGGCACAAATAAAAAGTATAACTAAATAAATATACATTACTTTTGGTAACGTCTCGAGAAAATCTAATAGTGATTGACGTTCTTCTGTAAAATATGGCTATGAATATGTAATTATTATTTTTCTAGATACGTTCTGGAAATTATTATTTTTCTCCTATTGGGGAGTGAAAATATTTTTTTTTCCAAAATTGGAGGAGAAACTGCCAAGTATAAAAGAAAAGATTGTAACGTAAGATAAACGATAGAGAAAATTTTCTCCACTTTTATGAATTCCTTTGCTACAAGTACTTTTGACATTTCGAAATGATTATTGGGCGAGATTGCTTAATATTTTTCTTTTACAAATTTTCTCTTTTCTTTTTCATATTTTTCAGAACATGCATTCACACAAATTGAATTACTTATATTTCTATTTAGAGTGTTTTTTGTTTCGATTTTAATTTCTATCTAATAGACACAGTAGAGGTTGTAAAGTTGGAGAAAATCAATTGTTACTTCCAATTACAGTCCATTTTCAATAACTTAAAATCATTTACAATGTTTTCGTTGCAAATAATAGCACAGGGATGTAAATATTTGGTGAAAAACGTGATATATATCCCGAAACAGTTCTAATTATTTTCTTGATTCAAATACACAGGATTATCATTACGTCACGTCTTGAAAACACGATTCATTTTTTTAATAAAAATATAAAATTGTGAATTATTTGAAAACGGATAAGTGGCAAAACTTCTTAACTAACGTTTAAAGTTTAAAACAAACAATATCTTCTATTTTGTAAAGATGTACGTGTGCTTTTATACGACTCCATCAATATACATACCCTCAATTGCTGCCTGGTATGCATCCAAAAATGAAGAACTTGGCTGCTTTGATTTCTGAAACATATAAAAATAAATATAATGATGCAACACTTGGCATGTATTCTGAAAATATTATATTTTCTAATCACAATATACACAGAGGCAAAAAATACAGATAAATGTGTGATCAAAGATGACATTAGAAAACGTTCTCAGTAATATGTTATAGAGACAACATTCGCACAGTGTGTAGAAATTCTTACTTCAAAATTGCTATTGTTATTGTGCTAATAGTTATGTAAAGTAATTTTGTTTAAATTCTTAACTAAAATTAAATTAACGTTAATTGTAGATTTGAATCATAAGTCTTCAATAACTATATTAAAAAAATATTTCATGGCAACTTTATGTGTTCATAGACCTCTGAAACACTATTATTTAAGATATATTATCTTATACACTATTTATTGACGTAGTTGCAAATTTCTTACCAGCTATTATTATTTCAATATTTTTTATTTTAGCATGAAGATATTAGATCTAAAATCGGGAAGTTTTCAAATCTATTGGACTCTTTTTAGGAATATTCCTGATACAAAAAATATTATGTTTACCTCAAACAACAAAAATAAATAAATTTGGAAAATTTAAAAGACGTATACAAATATTTAGCATATGAAACTTTACTCAGAACTAATGAAGAAAATTTTGATTAAACCGAAATTATTTACTTTGTATTTCATGTAACAACACAGCAAAAAGGAAAGTATCTATTGTACCAATAACAAGAAAATATGGTTTGTCGATCTGGTGTACCCGACATTGTATTTTAGTTTGAGTTTGTTAAAGTATCAATAAAGTAAAACAGGAGCTCACGTAATTATGGGGAAGACAGCCTTAGAATTACAAAATATAGAATAAAAACAATAAAAATAAAAGAAACGAACAAACAAGTTGGATTAACCAATAAAATGATATATATTTTGAAGGAAAAAATACTTGTAGCAGCACGATAGTTTAAAATTGAAAAGACAGGGAATCATCACTTTTTTTAACTTTCTTTCGATGCTTGCGTCATACTCACTCATCTAAGTCACGTCTTGCATCTCATTCTCTGTCTGTCTGTCTGTCTGTCTTTCATTCTCTCTCTCTCTCTCTCTCTCATTTTCCTTCTCCCTCTTTTTAATTTTCCCTCTCCCCATTTCTCATTCTCCCTCCGTCTCTTTCTCATTCCCCCTCTCTCTTTCGCATTCTCCCTCTCTCTTTCTCATTCTCTCTCTCTTTTTCATTCCTGCTCTCTGTTAGAAAAATAATAAATCCCTGTTGTTGTTTTTTCTGAAAACCGTATATTTGATAAATGCCTCCTTTCTGAACTAAGGAAAGAATATGAACTAAATACACAACAGTTTTTAAGCTAAGTTCTAACATTCGTATAAATGAAGATTATTTGTTTTGTGATTTTTATAATTCACTTATAATTATTCATATATTCTTAATTTACAGAAGAATTTTAATTCGGTGGAATCAATGACTCTGAAGATTACGGTGTCATTATAACGGGGAAGAAATTACATTTCTGAATTCCATGCCTTTTTGAGTCCAACAATATAAAAGTATACATTGGTCTTATAACTAATGGGTTTTACAATTAACTATAAGAAATTGTCATTTGCTATTCTTAATGATTATGTTGAGTTTTAGAATGAGGATTGGTTTCCAATTGGTTCGTTGTAATAGACGTACCAGAGCGCAAGAAACCATGCACGTATTGCTCGTCTCCTCATGTTATATCTTAAAACATTCACATTTACATGTAGAATATACGTGACTACAACATTTCGCGCCCAGTTGCGACCATATCCACAAACAGAAACTAGAAAAACATAAAATTACAAGTTATAGAAAATATTTTTAAAATGATCATTTAAAATAATTCTGACAAGATATTCCCCTCGACCTGTGTGCCGAGGAATACATTCAACATTAACCAATTGTTATAACAATGTCCTCTGTTTCATCGCATTTGACCCAGGTATAAAATAGATGAGCTGGACCATGAACTTGTCATAACATTCGAGGATTATCAAAGAAAACTACTCAATTCTGTAATTAAGTAGTGTCTCAAATAAAATATAATCCTACAAATTCAACTTTTAGGTATATTTATCTGTATTTTTTGTTTAGACATTATTCTTATAACTGATGTAAATGTTATGTAATGCCTTTCCATCTAATCGCTAATAACCGCAGATGTCGATGTGACTTAACATAATTTGAAAATTCCTATTTTCACAATCACGAGCTGTTTAAATTTTGCCATTTTTATTGGAAAATAAGTCTTTTTCAGAAATTCACGTATAATGAAACCACCAAAATTTTAGGAAATTAATTTATTATTTTCTCGGTGAATATTGTGTAGTGACATCAATTTATAATTATGTTAAACAGTTTGTATCCTCTGAATATGAAAATAGTTGCAAGTAATTTAAAAATGGTTCTCTAATTATATGGAGAAATTTGTTTTTAACAAATCGTCAGCAACTTATTACGAAGCACCTAAAGAATCGAGTTTTTTTAATCCAAATGTTAAAGCATAAATTGAGGAAGCGTCTTGAAAAAAAATTTTTCTTGGTTTTTTGCTGATCGAAATATGAGTTATGGACTATTCTAATATTGTCTATATGAATAAATTAAAAAACCATCGATGATGATTCTTTGAAGCAAATAAAAAACCTTTTTGGTTTAAATTCTGAATTGTTCTTATTATTGCGGCTGTTCTTGTTATCATTGTTGAATGTTGTAATGGTAGTGGTACTTATGGTGGATTGCAGTAGATTTGGTGGTAGTGATAGTGGTGGTGATCGTAGTGGTAGTGGTGGTGGTGATAGTGGTGGTAGTGGTGGTGGTGATAGTAGTAGTAGTAGTGGTAGTGATGGTGGCGGTGGTGATGGTGGTGGTGGTGGTGGTTACGTGGCTATGCCGATTATAATTTTTTTACCGTCTCTAAACTGTACAGTGAAAGTAAAACAAAAGGCGTCAGAATAGTAAGAAAACGCTAAAAAAGAAAGTAACATTGAAGAAAACTAAATTCTACTTATAACTTGAAGAATTGGTGAAAGTAGTACATTTTTGTCATTGCTGTGAAAAAAATTCAAAAAAATGTAAATCGTAACAAAAAAGATGCTAAACCTGTCAGACGAGGAATAGAAAGTCAGCAAGATTCGTTGTGGAATTCCGAGAAAGAACCGGAATTTAACAGCCGAGAATCTGTTCCTTGTCGGAGATCACAGGGCAGAGTTGCCCAAAGTGATTGCCAACGATAGTCACAAAACAAGAAAGAAAGAAAGAAAGAAAGAAAAAGAAGAAGAAGAAGAAGAAGAAGAAGAAGAAGAAGAAGAAAGAGAAAAAGGAAGAATACAAGAGAAAAAGTAAAAGCAAAAACATACAAATGCAGAAAAAAGAAGAATTGAGGAAAAGTAGGAGAATAAAGCAGAAGTAAAAACCGGAAAAAATAAGGAAAAGAGGAAAAAGAACAAAAGGAAGGCGCAAGATAGAGAAGAAGAAAAGAAAAAAGGAGAAGAAGAAGAAGAAGAAAAACCCGCCCTATCGGATCGAAATCGCAGCAGCAGGACGTCCTTTTACCTATCCGAACGAGCAGCATCGGCCGGGCTACTGCGTCGACGGCTGCTGGAGGCGTCGGCGGTCGTGGCGCGTCGCCCGGGCTGGTCGGCGCCGTTGGCGTGCAGTGGAGAGCAGCGCGGCGAGGCACGGTGCTGCCCTTTCGCGGCCCCGCGCGGTGCACCGGCGCCGTTTCGGGGAGCGCCCGCCGGCCTCTGACCGGCCAAACCTGCCCTTCCTTCGCGGATTTTTTCCCTACACGCGCCCGCGCCCGCGCCCGCGCCCGCACCCTAGTTTCGCAGAGCAGGTTTTTTTTATTATTATTATTATTATTCTTTTTTTGCGCGCACGTTGCGCTGCCACCTCTTGCCCGTCACCGCGAAGACGTCTTCGTTCTCAAAAGAAGAGCGTTACCCCGACGACGGCGACGGTCGCCAAGCAGCGAAGGGTGGCCAAGCGGACCGGAATTTTGCTGATTATTCGCGAGTGCTGGGCCGAGCTGGTTGCCCCGTCTTGCCGTCCCCCTCGAACCTCGGCGTGCCATTCAAAGTGCAGCCGGGAGCTGGCTGCCCGTCGCTCGGTGTTCGCAATACCGTCCGCTTAACCGCCCTGCTAGTGGCGTGTTTGAAATTTAAAATCATTGTCCTGAACAGTGCACTGTATTAAACGTAAGAGAAGCTTATATACTGGTACAGACATGTGAGAAAAAACAATAGAATTTGACCATCCCCACGAGTAAATGTTCGCTGTTGAAAACAGAAATGGAGTGTTTTCTGATTTGCGGAAAACACAAGATATTTTGTAATGTCAAAATATACATTTTCAGCTATTTATCGAGTAAATATGTAATAATTTATTTATATTTCACTTTATACTTATTCCATCTTCTGATTTACAATTTAAAAATAATATTCAAATTTACTTTTCTTGGAAAATAAAATTTTGTGCAATTCAATCACATTAATTAATGACCTCTTATCGGTTTTTAGTATATTGACATTTTTATTGGAATCATTTCTGAATGTGTTCTTACAACGTAATGTGATTTTGAAAATTGTTCTCTTCTATTATCGATACTTACAGTAGATCACTGAAGTTCATTTAAGAGAGAACCAAAGTTCCTTAGGTGAGTTTTTCCAACAATAAACATATCCTGTTCTCTTTCTAACAGTCAGGAGGTTACATTTTTTAGTGGTGTAAATTGTAAAAATATATCTCAGTTCTAATGTGTATCTCATAAAAATCCTACCCCGATAAAAATGTAACTTTATTACTTAGGCATGTTTATAATTAATATTTTAACTATTTGTGCGACAATAATTGATTCTGTATTATTTAATATAGTCTAATCCATACGATCAAAATAAACTTTATATTCTAACTTAGAAGTTGTTTGCACTTTTTGGTTGTTTTTTGGTTGATGATGTTTGCACTTTTACAATAACTGTAAACTCAACAAATAATGC